CAGAATCTCTGGGTTCATGAACACTGTAAAATATTCTATCAGTGACAGCCGACAATGGCTTGTGGAAATTGAGAGAAATCAATGTTTTTGAATTCTAGTTAAAGAAAATATGATCAGTTCCGAATTAATTCTGTTTTATAGAGGCCATCACCACATAAATCACCAATAAACCAAACCAACCTACGGAAGCTTGAATCAAGCAGATCCCACTCTATCATACAAGTAACATTATCAACCACCCAAGTCTTGATCAAAGAAAGCCGACCTCGTAAAACTATAAAAAAAAGATAATTTTGAAATCAGTCAGGACTTCACAGTTCCATTATTTTTCATTCAGGCAGCACATGTATAATTATGTGAAAGAAAGTTATTATCAAATGGAAGAAAACCTGTTTTGATGGATGGAATATTTGGGAGCTGAGATTGAAAAAAATAATTATTGATCGATTTCTAGATTGTTAACATGTTCATTAGCAAACTGAATTTGTAGGGTAAAAAAATGCTGTTAAAAATGAAATCTTGTTTGAAAATTGATTTTCCCTGTTGACAGGTCACAGGAAAGATCAATGAGTTGTGTAGGAAGTGTTTTTCATATAATACCGGTTCAAATTAAGTTTGGAGAAAACATATGCAAATCGAATCTTAAAGTTGAAAAAAAAAAGAAAAAAATGAAATAAAATAAAAGCCTTCATATTAAAGCAATTCATAACCACGTCCTTGATGTCTGAAATCTGCTACATGAAATACATGAGGAAAAAATGTTGCTCATTGATCATAGCCGAGCGCAGCTTAGCATCATTTCCTAGCAGAAACTTGTTAGCAAGGACAATCGGGGTAACTGCAGCAATCCATAAACAGCTATTGTGATAATCAAGAGGAAAACATGGATTCCACCTGTGTGATTCAGAAAGATTTCACCTTGTGATAAAACACACTGTTTTGTACAGTCCTTTTTATACATCATAAACACTAATCTATATTACAAATACACCATCTTTTCCTTCCTTTGACAATTCCAAATTGTACAGCCTCTTAAAATTTTAGGAAGTGAACAAACTGGTTTTTGTTTTTTGTGTACCCCTAAAACACAATTAGTATAAGAACAAGCTGATTTATTTATTCAAGTGCTGATCTGACTGATTTATTAAGTGTTGATCTGACTGATTTATCAAGTGTTCATCTCACTAATTTATCAAGTGTTTATCTCACTAATTTATCAAATGTTGATCTGACTGATTTATTAAGTGTTGATCTGACTGATTTATCAAGTGTTGATCTGACTGATTTATTAAGTGTTGATCTGACTGAGATATCAAGTGTTGATCTGACTGATTTACCAAGTGTTGATCTGACTGATTTACCAAGTGTTGATCTGACTGATTTATCAAGTGTTGAACTGGCTGATTTATTAAGTGTTGATCAGACTGATTTATCAAGTGTTTATCTGACTGATTTATCGAGTGTTGATCTGACTGATTTAGCAAGTGTTGATCTGGCTGATTTATCGAGTGTTGATCTGACTGATTTATCAAGTGTTGATCTGACTGATTTATCGAGTGTTGATCTGACTGATTTATCAAGTGTTGATCTGGCTGATTTATTAAGTGTTGATCAGACTGATTTATAAAGTGTTGATCAGACTGATTTATCAAGTGTTGATCAGACTGATTTATCAAGTGTTGATCGGACTGATTTATAAAGTGTTGATCAGACTGATTTATCAAGTGTTGATCAGACTGATGTATTAAGTGTTGATCTGACTGATTTATTAAGTGTTGATCTGCCTGATTTATCAAGTGTTGATCTGACTGATTTATTAAGTGTTGATCTGACTGATTTATCAAGTGTTGATCTGAGTGATTTATCAAGTGTTGATCTGGCTGATTTATTAAGTGTTGATCAGACTGATTTATCAAGTGTTGATCTGACTGATTTATCAAGTGCTGATCTGACTGATTTATCAAGTGCTGATCTGACTGATTTATCAAGTAATGATCTGGCTAATTTATCAAGTATTGATCTGGCTTATTTATCACAAGTATTAATCTGGCTTATTTATCAAGTGCTGATCATGTTAATTTATTGATGTTGATGGTTGCCATTCAAAATCAATCTTTACTGCTACATTTAAGTTGATCAATTTGACATTCCGATGCACCTACTCCTGAGCGTTCAGATTCTTAAAATACTACGGTTCTATATGATGCAGGCTTGTTCCTGGAAATCAGCCTAACAGGCTATGTATATACTTGGTCAAACAAGGAGGTGGACTTATTACAGTTCCTTACTTGATGGTGTTTTACTCAGAACACTGTATTATTTTTTTTGGTGAAGAAAAATAAATAAATACTGCAATTGTCACCATAACCCCAGTTACATATTATTGTCACCATAACCCCAGTTACAGATTATTGTCACCATAACCCCAGTTACAGATTATTGTCACCATGACCCCAGTTACATATTATTGTCACCATGACCCCAGTTACATATTACTGTCACCATGACCCCAGTTACATATTATTGTCACCATGACCCCAGTTACATATTACTGTCACCATGACCCCAGTTACATATTATTGTCACCATGACCCCAGTTACATATTACTGTCACCATGACCCCAGTTACATATTATTGTCACCATGACCCCAGTTACATATTACTGTCACCATGACCCCAGTTACATATTACTGTCACCATGACCCCAGTTACATATTACTGTCACCATGACCCCAGTTACATATTATTGTCACCATGACCCCAGTTACATATTACTGTCCCCATGACCCCAGTTACATATTATTGTCACCATGACCCCAGTTACATATTATTGTCACTCTTCAGTCAAAGAAAAAAGAAAAAGAACACCATCACATTCATATGATTTAGGTCAATTTCTCTGTTACTGGTTTTATGTTCTGCAGGAAATGTCACCGCTGTCAGACTTAGAGAAATGAGCCCAATACTGCTCCGTCCAGGCACATTAGTTTATCAGGTATAGCAACCTCCCCCTTAAATAACACTAAACCTTACTATTTCCCACATTTTGTTTTATTGCAAGGTAATTCAAATAATTAATGTCCAACACTTAGGGAATGGTGCAGATCTAGACAAATCTAAATTTACTGTCTCATGATCAGCTACAATCTAAATTTACTGTCTCAGCTACAATCTACAGTGACTGTCTCAGCTACAATCTACAGTTACTGTCTCAGCTACGATCTACAGTTACTGTCTCAGCTACAATCTACAGTTACTGTCTCGGCTACAATCTACAGTTACTGTCACAGCTACAATCTACAGTTACTGTCTCAGCTACAATCTACAGTGACTGTCTCAGCTACGATCTACAGTTACTGTCTCAGCTATAACCTACAGTTACTGTCTCGGCTACAATCGACAGTGACTGTCCCAGCTACAATCTACAGTGAATGTCTCAGTTCTTTCTACAGTTACTGTCTTAGGTACAATCTACAGTTACTGTCTTAGGTACAATCTACAGTGACTGTCTTAGCTACAATCTACAGTGACTGTCTCAGCTTCAATCTACAGTGACTGTCTCAGTTACAATCTACAGTTACTGTCTCAGCTACAAGCTACAGTTACTGTCTCAGTTACAATCGACAGTTACTGTCTCAGCTACAATCTACAGTTACTGTCTTAGCTACGATCTACAGTTACTGTCTCAGCTACGATCTACAGTTACTGTCTCAGCTACGACCTAGTTACTGTTTCAGCTATAACCTACAGTTACTGTCTCAGTTAGAATCTACAGTGAATGTCTCAGTCCTTTCTACAGTTACTGTCTTAGGTACAATCTACAGTTACTGTCTTAGGTACAATCTACAGTGACTGTCTCAGCTACAATCTACAGTGACTGTCTTAGCTACAATCTACAGTTACTGTCTTAGCTACAATCTAAAGTTACTGTCTCAGCTACAATCTACAGTGACTGTCTTAGCTACAATCTGCAGTGACTGTCTTAGCTACGATCTACAGTTACTCTCTCAGTACGATCTACAGTTACTGTCTCAGCTACAATCTAGAGTGACTGTCTCAGCTACAATCTGCAGTGACTGTCTTTAAGCTACAATCTGCAGTGACTGTCTTAGCTACGATCTACAGTTACTCTCTCAGTACGATCTACAGTTACTGTCTCAGCTACAATCTAAAGTTACTGTCTCAGCTACAATCTACAGTTGCTGTCTCAGCTACAATCTACAGTGAATGTCTCAGCTACAATCTAAAGTTACTGTCTCAGCTACAATCTACAGTTACTGTCTCAGCTACAATCTACAGGGAATGTCTCAGTACTTTCTATAGTTACTGTCTTAGCTACAATCTACAGTGCTTGTCTCAGCTACAATCTACAGTGACTGTTTTAGCTACAATCTATATATATAGTTACTGTCTCTCAGCTACAATCTACAGTGACTGTCTCAGCTACGATCTACAGTTACTGTCTCAGCTACAATCTACAGTTACTGTCTCAGCTACAATCTACATTTACTGTCTTAGCTACAATCTAAAGTTACTGTCTCAGCTACAATCTACAGTGACTGTCTTAGCTACAATCTATAGTTACTGTTTCAGCTATGATCTACAGTTACTGTCTCAGCTACAATCTACAGTTACTGTCTCAGCTACAATCTACATTTACTGTCTCTGTATATTAGTAAATTAAGTTTGGTGCATGTAGGTGAAATAGCAAGCTTTTATTCTTTAGACACACAATGGTATATGGAACAAAGGGATGTAACTCAGTAGTAGTGGGGCACCAAGTTCCACTTTTAGTATGTGAGACTCTGTCAGCTAAAGAGCGATTCATATACAAATGTCGGCAATGGTCGATGCAGTTGAAAGATAATATGTGATATACTCCAGACAAAAGTGACACGATAAAGGACGGACCGACAGACGGAGATGCAGACGTACATGGAGTCTGTTCCCTCAGTATCTGTGGAGGAAAGTAACAACAGAACCGTTAAAGAATACTTACGGCAAATTTTCATTGTTGTACAGTTGTATGGTCTGAAAATGTAGTCGAACTTTTTCTCCCTCCTGTCCTAAGAATTGATAATGACAAGTAGCTGTGTGTGGATAATTCTGTGGAAATCTTGGAGAAAAGAATTTGTTGTTGCCTATGTTGTTTCCGGGGCTACTGGGACAAGTATAGGAACACATCGTTCCCTGTTCTTTTTGGCAGGAACTTACAAAGTCGCCTGAAAAAGAAGAAGAGAAAACATATAAGTTACAATTTACTTACCCCTAGCCCATAATGCAACACTTTTGATTTCATCCTTGAACATTTGGCAATTTCTTATCAAATAACTCAATTCTGAAAAGAAGTTAATAAAACTGGTGAAAACTCGAAAAACAATTTGACACTTAACTAACTAGGAAAAGACGCTCTGAGCCTGTATACTTACATGGTTTCATCATCATATATAGCATCTGAAGATTGATATATCTCATTAAAATTCTTGTAAATTATTTTAACTATTTATATGTAATACCTTATATGGTATTAATTTTTCCAAAGATTATGCAAATAGGTAAAAATCAAAAACAGAATATTATATGTGTATTTCAGTTTATATACCCATAAAGTAATTGTTACAAGAGGAACATCAGTATATAGCTCAGTATTATAAAACTGGCTAAATTAACGAAGGCTTTGGTGACCTTAAAAACCAGTGGATTTACTTGTATGAAACTTACAATAGACCAATAGTAGGCAAACTTCAATTTCTTTCAGTGAAATTTGTTTACATATGGAAACTTAACTTATTTCATTTTGTATTTTTTATATAAACACAAATTACATATTTTTTATCACAGAAAAGTTTAAAATATATCAAATCTAAATTTAAATATTAAGAAATAAAAAAAAGCCACGTAAGTAAGTGACAACACTGATGGCAGAAAAATAATTACAAAGAATTTGTCAGAGAACTACAAAATATGATCAAAGGGAGATAACTCTTAGACTTGTTCAGCCACTGTACCAGTATTGATGGGAATACAACTGTTGGAGGCGACATTTTAACCTATTATGAAACCTGAATCAACTGAACACTAACAAGAATACACGGGTTTCCAGATATTTTATATATGTAACAGAGTATCTTTTAGATCAAGGTCTGGTTGATAGGGTTCATGGTATTAAGGCAGCTTTGATTTATACCCAATTGTACAAGGTTCTAGATTACACAGGATTGCTTGTAGATCACATTTCTGTGAAATGGATGTTTTGTATTCAAAAGAGTTTTGCTTGTTACATTACCAATTGTCATATGTTCTCAATCTTGTTTTTCAATATGTATTACACTGATACAGATCACCATTTTAACATATACTTAAGGGCCGGAATTAGAAGCTGCTCTAAATCTGGCTTTTAGTGGAGAAACTATCACCGGCCACACCGATTATACAGTTCATCCAATCATGACCAATGAACTTACGGTTGTGCGTGTGTACATTGAAAGCATTCAGGCAAGGTAAGTCATGAAACCCTTCATTAGACTGGCCAACAACCCTAAAGTTTTTATGAAGAATTTCTCGACTGCATTTTACTACTAGCTTATCTCCCCCTAGTTTAGAACTTAGGATCAAAATTATTAGAGTTACATTTTTTGCTTAATTATTTAATATTCTAGAGACCGTGGCCAGTTTACCCCTTCATCTGAAAGTGGATCAGTCCTGTCACACACAAGGAAACTGCATGGCCTTTGTAAACCTACTACTGATCGGGATGGGATTTTTTAATTTTTTTGAAGAAGCAATATAATCACTTCATACATTGTATCATTGGTAATGTTATTTATGAATTCATAAAATGTCAAAAAAAGGAAAATGTGATGATATCAAAAATTACAAAAGAATCATCTACAATACTTACAATGGTATTCATCATCTTTAGGCAGGGGTATTAATTCACACAAAAATCAGTTTTTAAACTAGCAGATAAGAACAGCTTTAGCAAATAAGATTGATGGAAATCAGGTGTCAAATAAACACAACATGGATACAATGTGCACAAAGATAAGTATACAGAAACAAGTATATTTGTACTCATGAGGTCTGTAAAAGGAATTTACAAAAAAAAAAAAAAAAAAAAAAAAACAAAAAAAAAAAAAAAAAAAAAAAAAAAAAAAAAAAAAAAAACCCTGACCTTTTGTTACCTTGACCTTTTAATTATGACCTTTGATTCAAATCAACAGATTTTATTACTACAGATAAAAGGATCTGACAATAGTGTGACCTTGACCTTTCCATTTGGCCCTGACCTTAAGAGTTAACACTTTTGTGTATATAGCAATAGAATATTTTTTTTTGAATCAAATTTAGCCTGAGATATTATTTTGAAAATAAAAGATGAACAATCAACAACAATGCCCTACATGAATAAAAAAATAATAATAAGAAAAGTAAAACAGAAAAAAAGATGTTTTGCTTAAAAGTTCAATTAACTTCAAAAGAAAAAAAGAAAAAAAGAAAGCATTAATTTATCATGTATTTCAGAATGGTACAGAATCGATCAATAAAAGCTTATTTTGTGCTGAACATTTAAAACAAAAATTCAGGAGAATTCAGTCCAAATTTTTACGCTTAACATAGCAATGGATCGGATTTTGGTTTCAAAAATATTCGATATTCCATTGAAATTTTTAGCACAATTTCTTGAAAAAACAGAAGAAGACAATTTTAAGTATGATAAATGTGCAAAGTATGATATAATGTTTTTAAGAGGCTAAAAAGGAAATGTGATTGAAGATACAGATCAATAGCACAATATCGGAAAATCGTGTTCGTCGAGAATAACTATTGATATAGTTTACGGTGGAGAAGACAGGTTTACACAGTTATTAAGTTCAGAAGTATGAACGCTTAATTAGAATCTGCAGAGCAGAAGTATTATATACAGGACAAAGTTTTGTTAGAAAAAATGTTTGAATTCACACCATATTTAGAATAAACAAGAAGTGTTTTGCCAATATCTAACCTGTGGCTTTGGGAGTTAAAAGTACACCCGTAGGTAACTTTATGAAGGGCAAACTGACTGAAACTGCAAAGGAAAAGCAATAAACAAAACATATATGTTTGGGAATTGTTCTTACTGAAAAACAAAAACAAAGTATACATAAGTACCCTAGCATAATTATTTTTTTAATTTTAAGGAAATAAGGTAAAAATAAATTTCTGGAGATATATTTTCAATTACAGAATTAATTTATCACTATGATAAGCATTATCAATTATCATACTTTTTTGTTGTCCTACGATCATTAATAACCAAAAAGAGAAATCTTCATGAATTAAACAGTAAAATTATCTCATTTGTTGTCATGTTTTACTTTTAATATCCTGTTTGTATAGTCCAATTGTGTTATAAACTTATTGGAGTTACTTCCCTTGCATCACATACTGCTACTAGGATTCTGCTATGGAGACATTACTGTTCTATATGATTTTGTTTCTATGAAAATCATATTTCATCATCTGTGTCATATGAAAACAAGATATCTATTTTGGTATCATCTTGAGTACAGTCTTTCTTGCTAATTCTTTTGGTAAATGCAGCAATCACATCACAAAACAGAAAATTACAGAAAATATTGCAAAGCTACCAATGACAATGACAATTGGGGGCGGGAATAACCATGGCAACCACAATTCAACAATTACTTACGTGCGTCTAAAAATTTGAATATTCCTTTGAATCCTGTATGATTTAAACTTTTTGTCGGATCTGAATGAAACTCGAGTACGAGACTGCGGCCTCGAGAATAGTACGTCTTCTGGTTGAGGGTGGAGATGTTGCCACATAGTTCAATGTCATAATCACTGTTCTCGTTGACCTCTCCCCGCTCCAGGTTCAGAAAGAGGTGGAGGTAATCGCCACACCTGTATAAATATTATGATTTTTTTTCCAAATCAAAATAGCTGAAAGTCAAATTTGTTAGGAATCGGGCAAGTAATATAAGAAGCAAGGGCAAACGGGAATTTAATTTGGTGCCTTAAAGTTTCACATTTGACCAAGGTGAAACTTGCATGTCCCAAATTTCGGTCATTCACCTTCATCAACTTCAGGAATTTGCTATTCGACATCATTGCTGGACTAGGAAAACTCCCTGGTTAAGGACTTTTCTTTGCCTTTACTTCTACTCAATCTAACTACAAGCTAAATGTTATGAGTATTATGACTCTTAGTTCTGTAGAAGATGTTTTTCAAAGGAAATGTTGGTGATGTATGGGTAAGTGCCGAAATTGCCAACTTCATATGCTTTGAAATGGATTATTCATTCCAGATAGGTAAAGAAGACTGGTTGGTAACACACCATTCAAAACTACATAAAAAAACAGCCCATCCCACAAACGCACTGAGGACCAGAATCAATTTTATCTGATTTAGATATCAACCAGAAACATATATCTCCTGCCTGCTGCTAAAACCTGAATTAAGGCCATAGACAACAAACCTACTATGTCCTTCTATTTGGTGGGATAAACGTTTGGAAAAGACATTTGGACTCTTGACCTTAAATGACACCATTTGCTTTGTTTTCAGCATGTCACATTTTTTTTTATTTCCATAGATTTTATTTGGACTTACACCCAAGTTGAACGTTCCATGTGAGGTCAACTTCTTAAGGTTTTGAGCCTATCTTTTGACCTTTGAACCTTGGCTAGAAATGCATCAACATATGTGAGTATTTTTTCTATTTGAGATATATTTCCATTGGAGTTCAAATTGATCTATCTTCATTTTTTCTCTGAACAAATCCACTTGAGGTAAAATTGAACATGTTTCATTTGACCTTTGACCCTTATTTATATCATCAACTTATAAATACTTACCTGTATCTGGATCACCCCATCTGATGTCAAATTCAACCAAGCAGTTTCTTTCAACCTTTGAACCTTGACCTTATGTGTCTGACCTACTGATTTGTATGCATCTGGATCACTCCTTTCCAGATCAAATTCGTTAAAAGTCATTTAATTTGACCTTTGAACCTTTAATCTAATGTGTATAACATACTTACTTTTTCTGCACCTGAATAATTTGAATGTCAAATTCAACAAAGGTCATCTTTTTTACGATTAAACTTTACGTGTTTGACCTACTTACTTGCCTGTAACTAGGTCACTCCAAATGATGCAAAATTCAACAAAGGTCATTAGATTTGATTTTCGAATCTTGACCTCATGTGTTTTACTTACTCCTTATCTGCACTTGGGTCAACTAAATAAAGATAATTAAATTCGACGTTTGAACATTGACCTCATGCATTTGACCTACTTACTTATTTGAGATCAAATCTACAAAAAGTCATTTTGTTTTACCTTTGAACCTTGGCCTTATGGGTATGCCTATTTACTTCTCTGTACCAATGGACATAGGTCGTATTATTTGACTTTTGAACCTTGGTCTAATGAGTATGATCTACTTCTGTGCACCAGGGTATTTCCATTTCGAGTCAAATTCAACAATGGTCATTTTGCTTTACCTGTTAGTTTGAACCTTGACCTCATGTGTCTGATCTACTTACTTCCTTGCATTTGAATCACTCAAAATCGATCTAATCTTCAATGTTGGTAACTTTGTTTGACCTTTGAAACCTGACCTCATCCATTTGATCCATATAATTCTCTGTATCTTGATCGCTCAATTTGCGGTTAAATTCAACAATTATCAATTTGTTTGACCTTTGAACCTTCGCATCAAGTGTATGTCCTATTCAGTTCTTTGCATCTGGGTCATTCCCTTTGAGATTAAACTAAAAACAAATTATTTTGATTGACCTATGAACCTTGACCTTATCTGTATGTGCTGCTATTCTGCACCCTGATCACTCTATTCCAGGCCATAAAGTTTGACAAAAGTCATTTTGTTTGAACTTTGTCTTGATTTGTATGACCCACTTACCTCTCTGCACCTGGGTCTTTCCATTTTAGATCAAATTCTACAAAGGTGAGCTCAACTCGTTCATCAACGTCGCCAATGAATGTGAAGAGGATACACTCGATGCCGCGATCGTAGACCTGTGGATAGTTCGGAGAGTGGAAGTTTCCTCGGGAGAGACCATAGCTCTGATACACGACACAGTCACATGCTGAAACACACCAACAAAAGGCCTTAGCTACATCATAGGAAAGTGACATATACTGACACAAAGGTCAATTAGACTTTTCATTTCTAAGGGAACATTAATAAATTGTAAAGTTCTGTTTTCCCCCATGAAAATGTTATCAGTTCAGGCGTTCAACAGTTAAATTGTACAATGAATAAACAGTTCAAAAAGAGTCAAATTATAAATTATTTCAAAAGCTACATGTTTGCACATTTTTTTACCTTACAAACAAATTTTCATGAAAATTCTTGAAACAATTGTTTAAACACCCCAACCTGACTGGGTATATTATATATACTATATATAGGAATCCCTTCACAACAAATTCCTGATACACTCACCACAGTGGCCAAACATTGCCCTATAAAACCTGTATACAAAGACCACCCTCAGGCAGTCCATCAAGTGGTCTCTTATCACAGGTGGTCTCTTTATACAGGTGGTCTCTTAGTACAGGTTCAGGACCCTTATTCATGAAACCGCTCTGATGCTCAAGCATGGATTTTGTGCTCAAGCCGAATTTCTTGTTCGCGTTGTAAATAAATAAAAAAATATATCTTATTTGTCAATGGTTTGGGAAAACATTGAAGAGACTTTAATTAAAAGCCGATTACGGTTTTCAATTTTTTCATTTGATTTTTTTTTTATTGTTTGACATGATTTAAGCAAGTAACATGAAAACTGGTTTGAGCACAGAATCCATGCTTGAGCATGAGAACGGTTTCATGGAAATGGGCCCAGTTCACAATGTTAACTGCAATGGGGAGTTTTAAAAGTGGTCTCTAAATTAAGGTGATCTCTTGAACATTAGTTTCACTCTACTAATTACATATTAGTATCTTATAACTTGCAAAAGGGACTCTTTACATGTAAAAACTTAAAAATGTCCCCTCCCCTCCAGTCAGGTTGAGCAAACCATACTTACCACGGCTGAAAAATATCATTATTACAATACTTTGATAAACCATTTCAACATATATATCACAGAAAGAAAGACAGCAACACTACATTGCTATTATCTTGATACAGACTTGATACAATTTCAAATTTCATGCCTTTTAAAATTAATGCAGATACCTGTGGAAACTTACTGCAAAATGTTAGTCCTCAATATATACCTATATCTTTAAACCCACTTATTCATTTTTACAGAATAAAAATAAAAATCATTTTTTTGCTGAAGTATCGCAAAATTGTTCTGTAGTTTTACACACAGCATCTCTACTGTTACAAGAGGTATATGGGGTCCGTATTGTTCTTGAAATAACATTTCTTGCAAATCGGTGCACCAGTTTCAAGAAAATTCCCGTGAAAGTATGACTGGGTAGAGGCCTAGATGTATTAACCCACAATAAGTTGTAACAGTATTTGGTTGTAGTTAGGAGGGTCGTGGGCTCAAATCCCTGACAGAAATTATAATGTCATAAATCTGCATACCAGGGATAAACGTAACTGAGATTCCCTCGGGTCCGTACAAAATGGATGAATTTGAAGCTCCAAAACATTATGGGAATACCTCAACCAAAATAGAAACCAATGGCCTGGCCATGTTTAATATATTTCAAGTGATTGACTATACTAATGGCATACAGATTCAACAGTTAAATTGTACAATGAATAAACAGTTCAAAACACAATTGTTGTAGATACAAAACAGTTTTCATTTATTATTTCAGAATAATAAAAATGGCAAAGGCAAGTCTAGAGCTTACCCAATGAGTTGTCCACTTGAAACATCAGAGGATGCCATCATGAAGAATTAAGGTTCATGAAAAATTGCCAATTTTTAATGGATACACTTTCGAGATTTTGAAATCGCCCATTACCCACATGTATATATATAATTTAGTAATCAATACTTCAAGCCTTTAAGTAACCCAGCTGTGTCCGAGATGTAGTGCTTCACAAAAACGTTTGACCTTTAAGCAGTAATAATGGTTAACGCTTCACAAAAACGTTTGACCTTTAAGCAGTAATAATGGTTAAACTTTGACGACAGGAGCTTGTTCTTATGTCCAAGTTCATGGGAGAAACTGCCTTATTAGGAGGGAATGACAAGATTGGATGACCGCGCTTGTTTCAAATGACCAGGAGGCCATTAGCTGTGTGTTGTTGTGGTTTGTTTTCGTTTTAGCTTTTATCCGATACGGAACTTAACGGCCATATAAAGGAAGCTGGTGATCATGAAGGCATTATAACCTGATCATTTAGCATTGAGCTGGTCAAGCAAGACCATTTGTTCTAAGCCGTTATCTACTCTGCTAAAATGCATCCATTTGGAAACTGTAGGCTATGTTAGCCGTATAATTTGTGAAGCTTTTAAAAACAGTCATGTGACTGAGAATGTCATCCTGTTTGATCTACCGAAATTCAATTTTAGATGATTGGTTTATTATCTTAAACCTGTGTTATCATGCTGACAAGCATTTCTATGACATATTCTAATAAGTTAGTATGTTTTGCTAGAATGACAAACATTTATATCATACAGACTAAATGTCACGACAAGCAATGCTAAGTGTTTAAATCATGGTTTTTTTGTACTCTTTTGTCAAGTGATATTACATCAGTATTTATCTTCTTCTTTTTTAAAATTTCTGGAGAGTTTGAAATAAAACAAGCAATATTAATTAAATTCTATTTTTTATTAAAGATCCATTCTTGCGAAAAATACAGTTTAATTTTATCTTTTTGCAAATTTTATTTATTTTTGAAATATTTTAACAAGTTGTACAAGCAAATAACTTTAAAGTATCCATTTTCATTTTGTTGCAAATTTCCAGCGTTTCAGACAAAAATTTACATATAATATTTCTAAGTTAAAAAGCTGGATTTACCAATCAGTATACAGAAAACTCTTTAAGCTAGAAATTCATTTTAACGGTAATTTCTTCATATCTGCAAAGCTATATTAGTCTAAAGATATCAATGATCTCACAGTAATGCTGAGTGATTGTGTCAAGAAGTTTAGCTGTGTATTAGTTCTGTATTATGACTTGCATATAGTCACGATCAATTTCCAGCTTCATTTGTAAAGTATTTGTAATGTAACTTATTTTATTTTTTTGAAAATTATGCAAGAAAATTAACTTTATACATAATTATAGGCTGTAAAATAAGAATGCATTCCATCTTCAGCTGAAAATTATTCCAAAAAGAAACAGCTTTTCTGTCATATCCGGTCATGTGAGATAATGCTGGCCATGTAAGATAACCATACTTGCTGAGTCTATCTTACATATGATGTCACAATGGCTTAACAATGACATGACGTCACGAATTTGAAAAACACTGATGCTGCAATGCGGAAAAGGCAACGTGATGAAATTGAAACATTTTACGATATATTTACCGTACACTTTAGAAAGATGAGATAATTTTTCTGCGAAAAACTCTGTTTGCAAATATATATGGGGTATGCTTAATCTTGCTGACATATTCGTTTCCGTCAAAAAAGCTCAGGGGGATTTATTTTTCTGGCAAATTCTCGGGTTTTACAAATTTGAAAACCCCTCGGGTCGAATTTCCCTATCCTACACCCCTAGACATGAAAGAGTCTTATAATCTTGTGTTGTTTATTAATAAAGGTAAAAAGTTACATATTTCCATATCAGTCTTCAGTTTTGTTTGGTCTCCTGCATCAAGAATTCTTAAACCTATAATCTTCTACGTGAGTTGTACATGAAACATGCTTTCAAATTCATCGCCTTCCGTTTATATTCCAAACGATTTGAAGCCGTGGGGAATTTTGAACCTAAACTGTTGACCTAGAAAAAGTCCCCATTACTGGTGAGTTAAACGTGGACCATTTCAAGACGATCTGTTTCCATTAAAATCTCAAACACAGGTAAATTTTAACAAAGGAGTTTCACTACAGGCTCATCGAAAAAAACAGTCAGTAATTATAATACAGAGGACTACACCATGTTTAAACTCTTAAAACCCATGGTGATAGAAAATTTATGCATTTTCTGATTCTCCTAGCTTCAAGTTCAAACATTCAATAGCTTAATCCAAAAGAAAGCTTTAATAAACTTGAAAATTTCATTTCTGCCTCATGTTTTTCCTACTAATTTTTAATTTAAAGTGAATACTGAATCAAGCAATCTTTGTAAAGTATCTAAATCAAAAGAAATTTTTATTTAATGTGCGAGTTAAACATTTTTTGCATAAAATACATTTCAAATAAATGTCATTCGTAAAGCCCTGCAGTGTTCTGTGTACAAAAGCTTATGAATCTACGCGTGTACTTTTGCAAATTTCAGATTATCGTGCACTCTACGAAACAAGGACCAATTTATCAGAGCACTATGACTGTAATTTGTAAACTGAAACCCGTTCTTACCAGTGTTTGTGTACTTTATAGCTCAATTTTGTAGTTTACAAAGATTTTTTTTTTGATGTTTCATTTAGATTGGCCTTTTTTGACATGCAATACAACCAAAACCATAATAAAATCTACAATATAGAATTCCCTCATCTCTATCTTCATTTTAACGCCAAAGTACATTTTATACAATTGCGAATACGAATTCCAAGATAGACAAATAATGTTTCCGAAAGAAAATATCGGAACTATCTCCATGGAAACGACTGATAGATATTCAGTCCAATAATGGATATTAAGTCTTCCTGCTCCTGATTTGTGACATTACTGTATTATACTAGAATCTCCTAATTCACAGAAAACAATACATTGGACGACAGCCCGAGTTCCAATACCAGTACGTAGCATAGCCGATTCGTAGTCAGAAACATAAAGAGCAAGTATTGTCATCTTAAAATAAAATAATAAAAAACTTTCATCTACATCTTTTTCAAAGAAACAAAATGTGAAACAAGTTGATTTGATGGAATTTATTGATGAATTACTGAATTATAATCTTCAAATAGAAAGTTGAGATGCTTCAATAACTTAGAAAGACATTTTAAACCAAAAAAATATGGATTCATTTTTGTAAGTTGTGTAACAGAGCAACGTATGATTGGGCTGACGTTAAATCTATAATCATGATAATGTTAAATTACTGAGGATCCTGCCGTATATATCATTAGGGCTACTGAAACATTGCCCTCTATTAAAATGATGAATGTAGCCACAGATGTACTCAATAAAGCAAATATGTATAAACACCTTACTGCATGAAGAGTTCATCTCCCCTTCAGCATATATATATATATATATTCATCAATAGAACCGTTGGGTTAGCTTAAAATGAAACCTGTTTCACCTTCCCAAAACAGATTGAGAAAACAAAAGATTTTGATCATTTTAACAGAATGGGTTTTCTGAAACTGACAGGAAGATTTCAAAAATTCAAACAAACTTATCTCCCTTTTTATTGTTAAGTTTTTATGACACCGAAGCATTGAATTGTGTGACCTTCAAGAAACAGTTGAAGAAACGAAAAAAAAAAGCCGATCAGTTATCTCCCCTTTGCACATGAAATCATATTACTGATGTTTCAATCATTTGATATAAATAATTTACACTTTTATTACGATCACTAGTTTTCAAATATCTGCATTAATTTTAAAGGTTAAATAGTACGTTATCATATGAATACACAAACCCTTAACCTTAAATTAACCATAAAAAAAACATATACACATAATATGCAAATATACTATGATTGCATTTCCTGACAGAAAATAGAAAACTATCAAGAATAACAAGAACACTAATTATATATATACTATTTCAATCTGCAAAAAATGGTTATGCCATTGTTCAATAAGTACAACTCAACCTTGTGTAAGATAAATGCATGCAACTTACACAAGGAGCCATTGTATTTATATCACCATGCCAACAAGTTATATATACAACTCCGTGTAATTAGCCACGACAGCATCATTAATACCTCATACTAAATGTAATTAGACAGTCAATTCTATGGCTTTGTTTATAATTTAGTAAAATGTAGTATTGTTAGATTGATCACCTCGAATAAATTCTACACCATTAATAAAACACTTGAATGTTAAAAAGCGTTAAATATATATTTCTGCCGCTTCAATGTGGACAGGAATGAACAGGTGTTATCAAGTTAAACAGCCAACATTAAGATCTATAAACTACATCAATCTCAGTTAATGGTAGTTTAGATTAAATACCACAAAATGTAGTATTTATACTGTTAATTGAAGAGTAACACCCAGCCAACAATGATCTCCGTTTACCTCTGTGCTCAGTTACATATTTGCTTTCATAGGACAAACACTTGTCTCTAGCTGGGGCTAAAACAAAATAATGACACAGAAAATACAAATTACACAGTACAACACACACCCGTCTGTATACAACTTATCTTCTTACTGCAGAAACTGTCATTTTTGTGGGTTAAATCTTAAACCCATGCATTCATAAACAGGTGACAATGACACTGAAATCTTCTGATTAAGTTGATTTCCTTAAGTCTTTCATTGTAATATTTTGGGAGGAATTTGTTTCTTGGAAATTCAACATTTTATATATTAATGCATATAAAATGAATAACCCCCCAAAATGACAGATTTTGCAGTAATTTGTACAGTTCTGTCAGAGCATCTTTCTTTCAATAACAATGTTTCCAATAGCATAAAAGGCTATTTTTTTGTGTAAATAATCAATAAAAAAACCAATGAATATCAATGAATGAATAAATGAACTAGATACTCATTGATGAATGGATCAGTGAACTGTATACATATTGATGAATGGATCAGTAAACTATAGATACTCATTGACGAATGGATCAGTGAACTAGATACTCATTGATGAATGGATCAGTGAACTAGATACTCATTGACGAATGGATCAGTGAACTAGATACTCATTGATGAATGGATCAGTGAACTAGATACTCATTGATGAATGGATCAGTGAACTAGATACTCATTGATGAATGGATCAGTGAACTAGATACTCATTGATGAATGGATCAGTGAACTAGATACTCATTGATGAATGGATCAGTGAACTAGATACTCATTGATGAATGGATCAGTGAACTAGATACTCATTGATGAATGGATCAGTGAACTAGATACTCATTGATGAATGGATCAGTGAACTAGATACTCATTGATGAATGGATCAGTGAACTAGATACTCATTGATGAATGGATCAGTGAACTAGATACTCATTGATGAATGGATCAGTGAACTAGATACTCATTGATGAATGGATCAGTGAACTAGATACTCATTGATGAATGGATCAGTGAACTAGATACTCATTGATGAATGGATCAGTGAACTAGATACTCATTGATGAATGGATCAGTGAACTAGATACTCATTGATGAATGGATCAGTGAACTAGATACTCATTGATGAATGGATCAGTGAACTAGATACTCATTGATGAATGGATCAGTGAACTAGATACTCATTGATGAATGGATCAGTGAACTAGATACTCATTGATGAATGGATCAGTGAACTAGATACTCATTGATGAATGGATCAGTGAACTAGATACTCATTGATGAATGGATCAGTGAACTGTATACATATTGATGAATGGATCAGTAAACTAGATACTCATTGATGAATGGATCAGTGAACTGTATACATATTGATGAATGGATCAGTAAACTATAGATGCTCATTGACGAATGGATCAGTGAACTAGATACTCATTGATGAATGGATCAGTGAACTAGAAACTCATTGATGAATGGATCAGTGAACTAGATATTCATTGATGAATGGATCAGTGAACTGTATACATATTGATGAATGGATCATTAAACTAGATACTCATTGATGAATGGATCAGTGAACTAGATACTCATTAATGAAAGGATCAGTGAACTAGATACTCATTGATGAATGGATCAGTAAATTAGATACTAATTTATGTATGGATCAGTGAACTAGATACTCATTGATGAATGGATCAGTGAATTAGATACTCTGTGATGAATGGATCAGTGAACAAGATAATCATTGATGAATGGATTAGTGAACTAGATAGTCATTGATGAAAGGATCAGTGAACTAGATACTCATTGATGAATGGATCAGTGAACTAGATACTCATTGATGAATGGATCAGTGAACTCAATACTCATTGATGAATGGATCAGTGAACTCAATACTCATTGATGAATGGATCAGTGAACTAGATAGTCATTGATGAATGGATCAGTGAACTAGATACTCATTGATAATTGGAACTAATCATTAGGGATTAATTCCTTTAATCAAATAGAAGACAAACACAAGAAAATCAAGTTCAAAGCTGAATTTATTACTTGATATTATCATTATTATTATAATTTGGCATATGATGGCCATCACCAGGCTTCGCCCTCATGTGGATCAGTGAATTAGACACTCATTTAAAATTGGATCACTGAACTGGATAGATATTCATTTTGATTACATAATTGGATAGAGATTGATTGATAAAGGAATATATTGATTTTATCGTGGTTTTTTTTATATACCAAACTGCATCAATTTATTATACATACCTAACAGATACAAAAGATAGACATATCAAAACTCTCGGAAAGATCACATCATATTGCTGCATTAAAATGAGCTACATTTATATGTTTAGAATATTTGATATCATATTTTATTGTCACATTGTATACTGGCTCATTTATTATTAAACAAAACATGTCAAACTGGAATAAAAAGAGCATTTCCTTTGGGAAATCACAGTTGTCATGAAGCCCAAATTCATTTCCCTTGGAAGATTGAAAAAGAAGGGGAATAATCGATCTTTTCATAAATAATTTATGAATAAAGTGATTGGTGATAGGTTTTATTAGAACGAACTATTGGCCTGAACTCCCCTGTGGAAATGTTTATCAATTAAACTGATATTGCAATTAAATCATTTATGTCTATATAATTGCCATCATGATAGAGTTTACCAAGTCATGCATGCTTAGATCTGGATAGACCAACTAATCATATATCATTTTACGGCTATTTTATTGACAATTAAAGATATTTTTTTGAAAACCACCGACATATTTTATGACATTTTTCAGTGGACTGAATAATATATGATACTGTAATCAATTCTCTCTGATCCAAGGTCAATTACTATTCATATAAAATCAGTTCCGTGATAATAATAATAACAATAATTCGAGGTTCTTATATACCTCTTTATCACAACCTAGTTCTTAGGTCGTCTCAAAGCGGTTCACAAATTATTATCCGTGGTTATAGGGCCTTTGCAACCAGCCAACATCTTTCTCAACTCCCTGGGGAGCATACAGTCACTGCTGCCATTTCGGCACTCACAGCTAGCATTCTATAATTCTAGCACTACCCAACAACGTACTCATTTACAGCTGAGTAGACTGGAACAAGCGGAGTAAGGTATCTTGCTCAAGGATACAACACAGTGCCATGACGTGACTCGAACCTGCAACCCTTCGGTCACAAGCCCGGCAACCTACCACTAGACTACTGTGCCTCCAAAACATTTGACCCTCTGTGATGCTCTAGTTATAATTACAACCATATTTCAGCACCAGAATTTTAAAAGTTGCAGTACCCCAAGGTCGTTGTACGCATGGAATATTCATATTCAGAGTGTTTTTCTCCTGCCCACACAAATCCAACAACCCAGGTGGAGTATAAAATGGTCTGGGGTGGATGTTGTGGTATCTGTGCTGCAGCGTTTAAGTGAGGTGGCACTATAAATGATGCCACTGGAAGCACTGTCCCACTACAAACAGAACACGATACATCTCCAGCACAAACGCAGGCATACACACATAGGGAGATATTAGCCAGGTGGCATAGGACCAGTAGTTAGCTACTGATAAGGCAGCTCCTGCAAATTCCTCAAAGATTGAAATTGATTAATGTATATGCTAATGTATATGCAATATGTGTTGATTGTATTAATTCATCTATGTACTGTAAAGCGCTTTGGAGTGGCTTATCGTTAGCTAAATAGGGTGCTATATCAAATGTTGAATATTAGTTTAATTTGAATACATAATTTTCAGTGCCAATATTGAGCCTTCAGGGAAATTATAACTTCTTGATAAATTAGGAGAATTTAACACTGTCAACGTTCTTGCAAAAAATGAAATGATATTCTTTTTAAAATATGTAGTCAAGCACATCTCAATTTATCTTGATTACATGTGAGAATCCGGTGTCATGCATAAAATGTACCTCCTGCTTAAATAGTATCCGGATACTTTTTATGCAGAATAAAAAGTATCCGGATACTTTTTATACCCCTACCAAAAAGTACCCCCCCTGTATAAAAAGTACCCCCCTATGAAAAAACCAGATGTTTCAAAAAATTTAATCAATAACAGTTCAGAAGTTGATTAGAAGGTTACAGTTGCATGTTTATTCACCCCTACCCCACCAATACCCACCCCGGGGCCAGGAAATTATGCCAATTTTTTTTTTAAACACTGGACACAATAAGGTTTTGGGACTCAAGTAGAAACATTTACATTTATGTTATAGTCATTACCCAACCTTTATTTAATTCCCCACCCCCCGGATACTTTTTATACACCCGACCAAAATGTACCCCCCGGATACTTTTTATACCCTGACCAAAAAGTACCCCCCTATAAAAAAATGATTTTTCTCTTTTTTTTTTATCCAATTGAGTTCAGAACTTGAACAGGACATTACAGGGGAATATTAATCCACCCCTACCCCACCAATCCCCACCCCCGGGGCCAGGAAATGATGCCAAAATAATTTTTAAACACTGGTTTGGAGAGTCATGAAGAAACATTTACAGTTATGTTATAGTCATTACCCAACCTATATTCAATTCCCCACCCCCCGGATACTTTTTATACACCCGACCAAAATGTACCCCCGGATACTTTTTATACCCTGACCAAAAAGTACCCCCCTATGA